ATATATTCTAAGTGTTTTTAGGAAATATCAGATTAGATGATTTTTAGATGTTCTAGCAATGTAGCTTAACTCATTAAAAATAAAATTTTACATTTTTTATAAATAGCAAATTTATGTTTTTTCCAGTCTTTATTTATTAAACAAATTATTTAGAGTATAACTGATAATAATGAGTAACATTATTATCTTGCATTTACTAATAAATACTCTAATTAAATCTGGTTTAATTATTATTGGAATTTATATTCTTCTTATTTTACCTTCTAAAATTTAGTGACCTGATGACCTTATACTTAATGTTTACATTTTCCCAATGATGTGAACATTTTATACGTAAAACATTATCTGTGAAATGAATGGTAACGTTTATTGGATTGAAAATGCAACAATTTTAGTTTAGCATTGGTATATCTCTTGAGGATTTTAAAAGGTATCATTAAGGTATGGCTTTTGGGAAATCAATAGTAAGCTCAAAACATGGAGAACAAACACAAATTTCAATCTGTTAATTATTAGAACACGGCAGATATTTGGTTGGATAATTTGCCTTTCAATTACAAATTCATCTACGACAGAAAGAGAAAGGAACATAAAGTGTGATTTACTATACAGTAAGTTGTTTTCAAAATAAAAGTTATAGATCAACAGTAAAGAGAGGAAATTTTCTAAAATAACTTTCAAAAAGTTAATATAATCAAAAATATATTGGCACATGTATAATACCTGTCTTAAAGTAATAAATGATACACATGTATATAAACAAATTTAACATGAATCAGGATCTCTTGTTCTTGACATCAGCACCTGCTGTCTAATGGGTCGAGACAAAATACTGTGCCTTCAAGAGTTAGTCCCATTTTGAACCCCTCCTGAAAAAGAATAAAATCATTAAAATAGGAAATGCTCATGGCAAAATAAAATAAAATAAAATCTGTAACTAAAATAGACTATGAACAGAAGTTGAAATTGTCATGCTTTGATCAACTAAAAATTATTCTATGCCAAATGTTGGCTTATGAAGTTTTTATATAGCTATACACCCCTGGTAATTTTTACTTCCATTAACATTTTTAATGTTTTAAATGCATGGGAGGTTAGCGTGCATTAGAGACAGAAGAGAATAGCAATATATGAAATTGAGTAGTTTTAAGACTTAAATGATTATTTTCCAGTAAGCTTATTATTATGTCATTCTGTCATATACATATCACGTAGTATGTGATCCTGTAGCTTAAGTCCCCATGTTGGCTTTAAAGTCATTATTAACTTAAATATTATTAAGATAGCTAAACCTCAGATTGATGAGTGGTTCAAAATAGCCTGTTAAGGGCCAGCCCGGTGGCGCAGTGGAGAGTGCGCCATTTGGGAGTGCGGCGGCGCTCCCGCTGAGGGTTCAGATCCCATATGGAGACCGGTTCCCACTCAGTGGCTGAGCGCGGTGCAGGCGCAACACCGAGGGTTGCGATCCCGTTACCGGTCAGTAAAAAAGACAAAAAGGAAAAAAAAACAAAAAACAAAAATAGCCTGTTAATTTTCACCACTTCCTCCTACTTATTACTGTCCACAGCCTGGGTGAAATACTTTTCGTAAATGCAATGCCATCCTCCCTGCGGAACACAGAACTGCAGACACTCTGCCAGGGAGAAGA